TGATTTCCTGCTGATTACAGAACCGGCATTACTATCAAAATGCGCATGACAATCGCATTCGATTAATCATGCAGCCCTACTTAATATGTCGATTAAACTTCAAAAGGCTGTGATTTCACTGAATAAACTTGAGTGCTGCATGCTTCAAAGTCAGGCGCAGCTACTTTGTGTACTGCGGTTACCGGGGAAACCACTATATTTCTACCGTTCCGAAAGCGAAACCTGCTGGCAGAGAATGAATTAGCTTTTTCAATAAGCCCGTCTGCTATTTTTGCGCCATATTTTTAAATGTGAACTGGTGGATCGACAAGAAGCTAATGCATTATAAAAATCTAGACAATTAAGACACTAAGATATATGTAATTCAATATAATTGATTGACAATAATTGTTTAAATTAATATAATAATTTATACTTTTGACTTTTTATATATTTTTTTTCTTAAAAATTGTTTAAAGACTGAAATGTGAAGTTTAGGTCTTAAAAAGGTCTTTAAAAGTCTTAAATTTGATTTTAAAAATCCTTTATAAGGCCACTTATTAAAAGTAAGACCTTGTTGCAAATTTACAGACAATACAATTAAGATTTTGGTTACATAAAGTTTACATTGGCTCGTTGGGGTAATATTGCTGTCAACAAAGTTTCCCTTCTGAATTAGCATAACTGCACAAGTTTTATAGTTAACTATCTTTAAAAACATATTACATTAATTGTACTTTGATTTCCTTCAATAAAAAGGAAATTGAGTTAGACGATGTAAAAGGTGTGTAGACGTGGATTAGTAATCTGGCCCCTTAGTATAAATGAGAAAAAATCCTGGGCCTCGTCACTATCAAAGTTGCCCATCCCTGGTGTAGATGTAGGCACAGTAGTGGCAAAAACTGTCAGCATGTGCAAATACTGATATGGCAAGATATTGAGTGATTGCATACTCATTAAAAGTAACTACTGATTAATGAATGATTAATCAATTTCATATCACTTTATTTTACCTCAATACTATCATTCCACTTATTCTACAGTTATGGGTGTTATTTGGTTATTTTTAGGGTTTCTAACTTGCTGCATATACCTGCAACATTTGCAAAATGATTAAATCAAACTACTTTAAATTCAGCGTTTTGTCAATGAATGCAGTGATCTCACAGATGAGGAGTTTTGCAATGCATAATAAAAAAAACAGAGGTTCAGGTAAAGGAATTGTGTTGTTATTTAGTGTTTTGGGATGAAGTAAAACCAAAAGGTTTAGCCCTTTTGGTTTTACTTTCATTAGTTCTGCTTGACTTAGGCAAGGGATTACACTTTCTAGTTCTGGGCGGTATGAGCAAAAATTTATATCACGGTATTTTTCAAAATTATACTGGTTTCACAGTACATGACGGTATTTTTTTTTCATGCATGACCAGGTGTTAACCATATTTTCTACTGATTGAGAGGAAATACTGCAGTATATTGACTTAGAATGTTTCTAAGGAAAGGCATGCAGCTCTGATTATGGTGATAGTGACATATTTAAACATTTGAACAAGACTGTGCCTCTCTGCAGTTCAAAAGTCTATTTTCAAGCTATTGCGCAAAACTTCATTTGCATTCAAGTTTAAATGCCAGTCATTTCTCATGGAAATGAGATTAAAGACACTGCACTCCACCCTGGGTTGTGTGCATGTGGGAGGGAGATACCATCATTTCATTCGGAGAACTTTCCTGGAAAAAGGTAAGAAACCAAACAGAAAGAGACCAAACACACCTAAAATACGCTAAAGACCACCAAGCATGTGGGTTGTCAACAAACTGTTCATAGCAATATTTGTGCCCACTCAGCAAATTACATTCACATTTATTTGCAGGACATTCCCCAAAACGTCTGTCAGTAGACTTAACTTACCTGCATTGTAAAAGTGATCAAGAACTGATGTTTCACCAAAGTCCATCTTCCCAAAGGGGACTATATCTAGTTTAAACCCCACAATGTCACAAGCATCCTTCAGACACTGTAAAGCCATGTTCTCCGGGCTGAGAGGTTGGCTCGTCTCAGAGTTCCTCACGTAGGCCACTTGCACGGCTCGGTTCTTACATTTACCCGTGGTCAACAAGGTCCCACTGTCTGAGGGCAAACTGATCACCCCAGGGTTGGCGTGCTTACAGCTGGAGGGGTCCTGCCAGAAGGTCCCAGCACCAGGGTTCACGCTGCCACTGGATTCTCCATTACTCCCTCCCATCATGTCTAGGAGTTGGTCAAGAGAGGGTACGTTAAGAGAAATGGCCTCCGGATCTGAATTCATTTTTTCACCAGTTTGGTATAAGACCCCCAACCCCAACAGTACAGCTTCTCAACCGGCACACTTCATAGCTGCCATTCCTGGTAACTCTGCTAGTGGCACCAAACCAACAAATAAATGATGTGATGTCATCAGCACCGACAACCTACGATAAAGGCGATTATCGTTTCATTTGTAGATGAACATTTTAAAATCCGCTTAGCAGCATATAGGTCTGGACGGGGGGGAAAATGGCAAGAATTGAATAACTGCATAGATCAAGGACTGATCACGCACACGCTCGTCACGACTCGAAGAAACGATATTACACTCTCGAAAATGCATCGATGTCCTGAAGCGCAAGTTCTTTGAGCGCGTGTATAGTTTCTGAAGTAGCGCAGTTCTGCCGATCGCTAAACTCCGCGCGCGTCGTGTCAAGCCGTTTCACCGCGAGACATCAAACGCGTTTCCTCAGTCCTGTCGTTCCTGTTTATGTCATTGTGTTTATGTCATTAAATTGCGAAATCGCACTCGGCTGAAGCGCGTTTGTCTGTTGGACCCTGCCCTGTTTCTATTATTATCTTCAACACACAACTCACGCTCAGGGGGTGGAGCAGCACTCCGAACTTACAGGAAGTGAAATTACGAAACCTACTATGGTAAAGGCTTGGGCAATGAATATTAAATACGTAACGTAACGCTCACCCAGATGACCACTGTAAAGAAGACCATGGTCCTCTCCCAATACCCACACTTGGGGTATTTATTTATTTATTCATTTTTTAAATTTATTTTTGGTTAAATGATTTATTTATTGACAACTCACACAACAAATACAAAAAAGAAATAATATAATTACAACAGTAACCACTGTAATATGTAATACATTTAAAATAATAATAATAATAATAATAAAACATTAAAATAAATAAACAGATAATGCATAACTATATATACATTGTTTTTGCCTTGATGTTTCTTACACCCATTGAAGCTTTAAGATACTAAAAAAGCTCAAACTCAAAGTGCAAAAAATTTGCTACACTTGTGGCCTGTGTAGCAAAATAAACATAAACATACTCATCTCTGCACCGATACACTGAGCAACACTTTACATTTACTACTATATTATATGTAATATCTAATTAATTTAACTGATACTGGAAACGTCATAATATCTTGCACTTTCGGGTCACATGAGAACCAGAACATGATGAATGAATCAATGGATACACTTCTCACCTCAAATACTATCCCAAAGTGCTATTAAAGATAACATGGATTTAAGTGTATTTTAAACACTGGGTCACAGAGCTTTGGCACACTTCCTTCCTGTTGCATGCATGCACTCTCCAGTGTCCAAGACCACAAGTGTTGGTATTGGGATAGGCCCAATGGTAAATGTTTGTAGGTGGGTAACTACCCAGTTCATAATTATTTATTACGTAAAGTTGGATGCTAATTGACGCTCCAGGGTAGTTACTAAACAATGTAAAATAACTATTGCCTGTAAGCATTTGGACTAATTGTCTTAAGTAGGAGTCAAATATCTGATTTAAAAGTGCGTTGTTTACATGAACCGGAAGCAAGCGCATGCATCGTGATACTCTCAGTCTCCACAATGGCGGTGTGCTGCGGACTATAGGTGCTGGATAAAGCAAACCATTGTCTCGCTAGCAAAGTTTTGATGGATGAGTATTGTAATTGTAGCACGCCCACTGTCCATTTGGCAGTACTGCAGCTAGTGAAATCTATGCCACAGAAATAATGAGATGGTCGAAGTTGTGTTGTTTTTCAAAGTTGAGCCACTCTAGTAATGACTTTATTACAGTCCTTTAATCACAAAATCTTGTAACTTCATGAATATCTCTATTCAGCAATAATACTTATTGAAGTCTTTACATGTGATCCAGCAAAATCAATAAACAGTGTTTTCTGCATAACCAAACCCTTGTTTTGGCTCTTTCTTTATGCTTTCACTTTTTATACAGTACATTCTTAAAACATATTACTGGAATCAATTTAAGACTTAGTCCACGTAAAATGACATAACCATAACAGACTGTTTCTATATGCTTCATAAGAACTAAGCATTTGACCAAGAGTCCATATAAGCATTAAACATATTAAGCAAGGTACTATTCATCTGAACTGAACACTTGAGCTAGCTCTCTGTAATACAAAATAAACACTTAAATTTGATGAGTATAACACACATTTTTAAACCAATACTGTAATCATACAAAACTATATCATTAGTAGTACCACTTTTGATCCCCGCATATAAACAGCATTTTTCATTGCTTTAGTCGATTTGCTCTAATTCACTGGGGGCTTGGTTTTGGGCTGGGCCTTCATGATTTTAGGGCTCCACACGAAGCCAGAGCTTTCCCTATCCTATCTTATTTTTGCCTTGTTCTTCTGTAAACACGGCGTCATCTCAAGAAGTATCTCGCTACACACGAAACCACTGAAACTGACTCAAAACGATGTAGTATACATGGCAGACCAGTATGTGGCACTGTAATTCTGCCACAGAGATACACTAAAAACGGAGAAGAAGACTGGGAGCATGCGCATAAACCTTGTGCGCTGTATACAAACCCAACACAACAACAAGAAAAGATAGTAAAGTTAGTAAAGCTAATAGGCTCAGTAGGTTCTGTAACACAAACACAAGCATGTAGTTCACCATTGTTGTTGTTGTTGCTGTTACGTGATGTAGCGGTGTCTGACTAGAGTTGAGACATGGGGTGATGTAATATATATATAAATGGAATGAATGAATGAATGAATGATGACATTATCGTTTCACAAAATATACGGATTGGCCGTACACACGAAAACGCAAAGGTGTCATGTTCAAATTTATCCACTCTGGGACCCGGTTTAAAAAAAATAACGGTTTCAGGCTCCCAAACCGCCAGATCCGATACAAAATGTTTATATATACAGCTAAACGCGTCTCCGTGTGTATGGGCCTTCGGTAAGTCTATTTAAAAATGGTTGAGAAACACCAGCTGGAGTTTGAAAATGTGAACTTATTGGTTAACTCCCATTTTGGCTCTGCATGTGCACTTCTCAGTAGTCTAATTGATGCTTCTGTCACACCCATGAACATTTTGTTGTTTTCATTCCCCATGTGCTCAGTTTGACCCAGTTTCTGTCTCTCTTTCATTAGTTAGTTCACCTGTGTTTTGTTAATCTTCCTCACCTGTCAGTCCCTCGTTAGCAACCCTACTTTAGTTCTAGCCTGTTCAGTTCTCCTTTGTCCGGTATTGTGAATACTGCAGTCTCCTGTCTGCCTTCTGTGAATTACCCTTCTGTGGATTTATTAAAGACTATTTGACTTGCTCTTCATCTTCGTGCATGTTTTATAGACCATGTTACGTGACAGAATACCGGACCCGAAAAAGTGAAAAGAGTAAGCTGCGCTTTTTTCCCCCCCGTTTGTTTTTTCATTTTTGAAAGTGTTTCGTTTGTTTTTTGTTATGGAACTCGCTGCCAGATTCACCGCATTAGCCCGTAAAGACCTGCCCTTCTTGGAGTATGTGGCTGAGTTCAGCCAACTCGCCGTTCTAACGGCGTTCAACGACGCAACGCTGAACTCACTGTTCTGGATCGGGGCTAATTACCATCGCCCCATCGACCTCCCAGACACCACTGGACTGTGCTGGAGGGAGGCAATCATCTGGTGTCTGGAGAGCATCTACCCCCAATCCAGAACACAGCCAGACCCAGAGCCCAGCCGACCATTACCCCGCAGCGCGGAGCATAAACTGGAGCCCACCACTGACGGAGACTTTTAATAGACTTTTTTTCTGATGTACCCAGTCTTCCGTCATCATCTGCCTGTCCTGTTATGGCCATGGAGGCCATTTATGAACTCCCCGTCTCTCCTGAACTGTCAGCCTGTCGTGAATTACCTGTCTGTCCCGTCACGACCATTGAGGTTGTGCCTGAAATGTCGCTGCCCTGAACTGCCTGCCCGTATTGAACTGTCTGTCTGCCCCGTCTCGTTGATGGAAATCATTCCCCTGTCTGCTGGACTCCCGGTGTTGGGAGTTGCGATCTGGTGTGTGTGGGCAGCACACAATATCCCAGAAAGCCCTGATACTCACAAATTCCCACCCTCCCTCTCCTGCCTCCTCCTATCTTCCCTGCGGCTTCAGCTCCGCCACCACTGTCTCCTGGCAGCCCCTCTGCTCACCCTCAGCCCAACATCTGTGCGGTGGGATCACCGCAGGTCTGCCAGTCTCCATCAGCATTGTGGCTGGAGGATCCCTTGTCTCCGCCTCCAGCCTCTGAGTCCCGGACTCCGCCTCGGCCCTTCGACCCCGTGGCTCCACCATGGCCCCTAGCTCCTTCCTCTCTGCTGTGGCCCGTCAGTCCACCAGCTCCGTGGGGCTCCCTCATTCCTCCGGCTCTGCCTTGGTCAGTCGTTGACCATCCACCACCTCGGGTCTCCACTCCTCTGGCTACACCTCGTCCCTCTGTCCTCCGGCTCTGTCAGGCTCCTCCTTCCCTCCGGCTCCACCTTTGTCCTCTGTCGCTCTGGTCCGCCTCGGCCCTTCGACCCAGTGGCTCCACCATGGCCCCTAGCTCCTTCCTCTCTGCTGTGGCCCGTCAGTCCACCAGCTCCGTGGGGCTCCCTCATTCCTCCGGCTCTGCCTTGGTCAGTCGTTGACCATCCACCACCTCGGGTCTCCACTCCTCTGGCTACACCTCGTCCCTCTGTCCTCCGGCTCTGTCAGGCTCCTCCTTCCCTCCGGCTCCACCTTTGTCCTCTGTCGCTCTGGTTCCACTGTGGCCTTCCGGATCCTCCCCGTCGCCCTGGCTCATCGGCTCTCCATCTCCGCCTTAGGCTCCACCTCCACCTGCTCCACCGCCGTCGGTCAGCCCCCTGGAGTCGTCAGCCCTTCCTCCACCATGGCTCCTCCCTCCGTCGGCTCCACCTTGGGTCGCCTTCAGCCTGGGTTCCGCCTGGCTCCTCCTGCTCCAAGTCCCTCATGTCCTCTCCCTGGCTCCTCCCTCCGTCTGATACACCTTGGCTCTTTCTGTCTCCATCCTGGCTCCTCCTGTCTCCATCCTGGACTCTCGTCCCGGGAGTCCATCCTCTGCCCAAACCTCCACCTGGGTTGTCCACCTGCCTTCCTTCCAGCCCTTTGCCATCCCCTGTTACCATCCCTTCTCCACTCCTTTTTGTCCTCCTCCTAAGTCCCCCTCCGTCCCTCCCTTTGTCTCTGTGGTGCGAGGCCATGCCTTCCGGGAGGGGAGCAAACTGTCACACCCATGGAAGTTTTGTTATTTCCATTCCCCATGTGCTCAGTTTGACCCAGTTTTTCTCTCTTTGATTAGTTAGTTCACCTGTGTCTTGTTAATCTTCCTCACCTGTCAGTCCCTCTTTAGCAACCCTTCTTTAGTTCTAGCCTATTCAGTTCTCCTTTGTCCGGTATTGTGAATGTTGCCCCTACGTGTGTCTTCTGCCTGCCTTCTGTGAATTACCCTTCTGTGGATTTGTTAAAGACTATTTGACTTGCTCTTCATCTTTGTGCGTGTTTTATAGACCACGTAATGTGATTTTTTGAAGTGCAAGTGAC